GACCCTGTCTCTGAGTTTCAATTCGCATCATCAGGGACAGGGGCCGATCTTTCAGCAACAATGGGACTTACGACTATCAATGATGACAGAATTTTTATAACAGTTTAAATAAAAGTAAGTGTAATAAAATATGTCTGAAATACTAAATTTCTTGTCATTTACATCTAAGCCAGATTATTTAATTTTTGCAATAAAAAAACTGAAAACGTACAGCTGATTTATGCCAAAGACAGAACTGTTACAAGCACTTCCAATCCATAAAAACCTACAAAAATCAATTTCCTCCAAAAGCTCCTCTACTGGATCTCATACTTCATGTCCTAAAGTGCAAGTGTTTGAGCTGCTGAGCCACAGATAAGAGTAAGTGTAACACATGCCTGAACAGCTGTAGACATTAGGTGATTCCAGATTCCTATAATAACACAGAAGCTTGTGTAAGGATGGCGATGGCTTTTACTCTACCATGGCATCACATAATGAAGTCATACTGATAGCAAAAAAGAAGAAAAGACTATGTGGCACCTTGCATTCCAGAAGCTCCAAGTGCGACACAAGGTTAAAACAGCTGTGCAGCATCTTTGAAGATAATTTCAAAGATGGAAAGAGAGAAATGCTGGAGAGGATGTGGAGAAAAGGAAACCCTTCTACAGTGTTGGTGGGAATGTAGTTTGGTGCAGTCGTTATGGAAAACAGTATGGAGATTCCTCAAAAAACTAAAAGTAAACTTACCATATGATCCAGCAATCCCACCCTAGGCATATATCCAGAGGGAAACTTAATTCAAAAAGATACATGCACCCTAATGTTCATAGCAGCTCTATATACAATAGCCAAGACATGGAAACAACCATCAACAGATAACTGGAGAAAAAATACCATATGATATCACTTATATGTGAAATCTGAAAAAAAAAAAGCCAAACAAACTTATTTGCAAAAGAGAAACAGACTCTTAGACATAGAGAACAAACTTGTGGTTCCAGGGTGGGGTGGGGAATAAATTGGGAGTTAGAGATTTGCAGATACTGATACATCTAGAAGAGAGAAACAAGTTCATGCCCTATAGTGCAGAGAACTATCTTCAATATCTTGTAGTAACTTATGGTGAAAAAGAATATGAAAATGAATATATGTATGTTCATGTATGACTGAAGCATTATGTTGTACACCAGAAACTGACATAACATTGTAAACTGACTATACTTCAATAAAAAACATATATATATACAAAAAAAAAAAAAGTTCAAAGTTGTAACATGCATCAGTAAATAGTCACAACAGGTGAAGAAAACATGTTCCTGCACCTTCTCCACAGCTGCCAGGGGCCCCGACAGTATCTGACTATTCTAGTGGCAGGGAGAGGCCAGAAAAGCTTGCCACCCAGGGCACTTCTCGGCCTGCCTTGCAGAGGTAGTGTAATTCAGGCAGGAAAATTCCGTCAAGCTTTGGCAGGGCATTTTCTGGCAAGCATAGCTGCAGCACTGACAGCTCAGTAATCTAGACTTTAGGACCCCACGCTGTCTCCTGGCACAGCAACCCGAGCAACACTGAGAGCACACATGGATAAATACCAGCTTCCACTACACAAGTCATCAGCTCTACACAAATGTTAAAGGGGCCTTTTTTTTTCCAGAGGTCAACTGTTGGAGAAATGTTTCTAAAAATAACTTGGCGACAAAACTATGGAAATGGAGAATACATTGGCAGTTGCCAGAGGTAGGGTTGGGGGGTGGTGAGCGTGGGCATAAAAAGGGCAACCTGAGGAATCCTTGCGATGATGGAGGTGTTCGGTGTCTTGGCTGTGTCGATGTCAATACCCTGGTGTGATATTATACTTTGGTGCTGCAAGATGTTACAATTGGGGAAAACTGGGCAGAGGGGACATGGAATCTCTGTATTACTTCTTACGATTGCACGTGTATCTACAATTACCTCAAAATTTAAAAAAAATTTTAAAATGTCAGCCAGCTAGTTCAAAATCTCACCTAGTTTAAGAATTAACATTTGAAACATGTACTTTAAGGTACAAAGAATTATTTGAGAGAAAAAAATGTCAAGCAATGTAAAGAACCCTCTAGATATTATTGTTACTGTAACTTCAGTTTCCACAGTAGAACAAAAGTGGATGACATTGAAAACCCACAGTTGGAAGAGCCCAGAGACCAAACAATTCAGTCTCTAATGTATGTAGGTTTTTTTAATTCTACAACTTGTGGTTGACTCACTATGAGCTCGGTCTTACCAAAGCATATGGAATAAAAACACAACACAATACAGGATGAAAATCTGATGCAAAGTTTCAGTTAATATTATATTTTAATGATTTAACTCTAATAATCATGGGGAAAATATGAACTGATTCTAAGAGGAATCATTATTTGAAAATTCTTGTTTTTGATGGCTTATCCTACTTACCAGGTTCTCAATTATTCAGAGGCTCATTACATGGTCTGTGGGCTACTCTGCCCCCATGGGTTCTCAATTTCTTCCATTCTCTACTCATGGCCTCTGAATACTTCCACTAGAAGTGCAGACAGTGGGCAGAGGAAAGAAGAATGAAGCTCAAATACCAATTTTGCTATCTGTTTGTTGCCAAATTAAAAAGATTTTTCATTAGTAAAAGAATGCTAAGAATTGCTCTGGTGACCCTGGAACATGTGGTCCCTTCACATTCCTTTATATTTCCTGTAACGGTTTACTGAGTGAACAGGAAGCTCGTCTGTGCTACTTAGGAGAGGCCGGCTACCCAGCAGAGGCCTCCGAAGCTGCAGGTGCAAGCACCAGGTTTCAGAGAGGCCGCTGCTGACTGATGAGACCGAAGGCAGATGGGCCTCGAAGGAAGTCGGTAGCCTAATTCAGGCCAAACTGTTGAAAGGCAGACCTTCAGTCATGGTTGGCTCCTGCTCTAAGCTGAGAAACATTTCCACTGAAAAACAACCCGTGACGTTTCTAAATTTTAGTTCTACGACACAAATCAATTCTTGAAAAATCCTTAGCAGCCCCTTGGGTTTGTCTCAGAGTAAACGGAGTTCAGCATTTAAGGAACTCTGAAAATACTTGTACTTAAAGAGGAGCGGCAAACTCAAAGGCCTACAGGGACGACACGAGTAACCTACAGGAGAGAGCAGCTTAGCAGTAAGACACGGAGGAGCAGGCACAATGAGGACCGCGATAAGCCACAGGGCACAGACCCCCAGCTGGTAGGGCGGCCATGACTCAGCCCCAGCTGAGTGCTCATACACGCAGTTTGGAGTTTGGCTTGTGGGTCACCAAGTTGAGATCCCTGTTTCAAAGGGCTATTAACCTGGCCAGAGCACCCTGAAATCACAAGCAACTCAGAGAAAAATTGACAGCAAAAATATAAACTGCCTCAAGAAAGTATTTTCAAAATCAAGCCAATGAACCCAAGAGATAAAGCATCTCCTGATTATAGCCTTTTCTTGGCGATTCCTTCCACCTTTTAGAGTGGCTTCTTGGATGATTTCAGAGAGCCTGAGCTCTCTCTCAAAGCTAAGTGCCCCTGGAGATAATGCAACTAGCTTGGCTGGTCATGCACCTCCCCTAGGGGCGCATGCCAATTAGCTGTTTGTGTTCCTGGCACTTCTTTCTGGATTGGAGAGTTCACATTCATCTACAAAAATCACACAACTCAGGCAGCTCCAGCACAGAAAACAGAGCAGTAAGTGTGTGCCTGGGGAGGGAGGAGCTTCAGGGGAAAGGCAAGTAGG